TCGAACTCGCGACCTTTGGAATAGCAGTCCGTTAAAAAAACCATTATTTCACTATTCGGTTTTAAACCAAATGAATTAACATTTTAAACTTTTAGAGAAATAGTGACAGCCCTAAGTAAAATATTATAAGGATATAAATATCTCGACGTATACAGATTCAAGGTTAGCAGCCCTACTGTGGTAATACCAATTATGTTATCACGGAAAGGATTATGTTATTTTTAGCTTTACAGAATAACACACCGCAGAGGTTGTTTTTAACATGTTAATTAGCAAGAATCTAATATATATATATTTTTATGACTGTTCTCTCTAAGTTAGACTCTATATGCACGACTTAGTGGTATAAAATAAAGGATAAATAAATCCAGGAGGCCAACTTGTCTTATAGTTATGTATACAAAGTTCAAGGCGTACATTGAACAATTGCCCTACTAGGGGCAGAAATATCATGATAGTATTACGCTGGTAGTTGCACAACAATGGGGTGTACCACAAACCCCGTGCCGGCACCACGATGCGCCTGTAATTAGCAAACCATTGGTGTTGCCACTCCATAAAAAAATTCAAAAATTATTAATTCATTAATCACCACAGCTGGACATAGGCCTCTGCTTAGAAAGGAGGTTCTGGCTTAGTTTACTACACTGTGGCCAGACGGGTTGGTTCGGATTTTTTTCAAGTTTTCCTTCTCTTTGCAGTGCTGTTGTCCTGCGTGGTTTGCTCCCTTAGTCGGCTTTTAAGACCCGGACATTAATCATTATTGATCCCAAGAATAAAAAGGTGCGTGTAATTAGAGCATGCATGTATGTAGGAAAGGCCTATGTCCAGCAGTGGACTACTTAAGGCTGTTGATGATGATGATGTACAAAAGAACAAGGTTTTTATTAGATAATCTAAGTCTGAATAGTCTAAGTTGAATAATCTCTGAAAAGTCTTGAAATATTTCAGTGTTTGAATAGAAAGTAAGAACTTACATAACTTAAAATAGGTTTTTTATTTAGTATAATTGATGAACTGATTTTTTTATCAATAGGTTAATTCGATAGTAAACTACAGAATATTTAACTTAAAACTATAACATGCAGTAGTTATATATTTAAAAGAATAGTTACGAGTATTTAAGCCCTTTGCATGTGACGTTTCAGCCGAACACCATACGTTTAATACGGCACTTAAAAGCATACTTAATAAATTCATTAAATAATAATACAGCCAACATTAGTTTCAAAGTTATAACCTGGTAACACAGTTTCGTATTACCGCATTACAATGAAATATTTCGCGTGTCTCTGCAATTTGGTTTCATCGTTACGGCGAAATTTTATTTGTTTACTTTTGGTAACTGCGGATAAACATGCTTGATTTTTTAAATATCCATTCTTATAATCAGAAAATACTTATTTTACCGAAAATATTTTGAAACTATTCCGTAATCTTTTATGATGTTATTCAAAGAAGAGACTATGTACTTAGTAAATAGTTTATTCAGACCATCATTCTGAGTCGAAAATCATTGGAATTTTTTGCCTGAAAATTAAACGTTATTCCCCGTAGATATCGCATAAAAGTAACAACTATATTTCTGTTCCGTGCAAAAAGTATAGGCTCACTAACACAAGATGGCGGCCGGAGGTGTAACCCCGTGCGTTTTGGCTGTTTGATTAATTACATTGCAGTTTTTGACCGTATGCCGTGTTTATTGAATTATTTGGGTAAAATGTTCTGTTTATTTATTTACACATCATGCACATTTGGTGCATTGGCGGACTTAATGCCTCAGGCATTCTCTACCAGTCAACCATTGGGTGATGCAGAGAGAACAGGAAGTAGGTGCATTTTGGTTACAGTTAATTTAGACATTTAATATTGTATATATACTTTGTACAAAATCATACAATATATACACATACACAAATCTGTCATATACTACACCTATACATATTAATAATACACATAAGTACATACCATATAATACATAAATACTGTATAAAAGTATATAAATACATACATACAGACGCAAGTAGCTGATAACACTGATAACAATTTTGTATTAAAATGAAAAGAAATCATGAGCAAGTTGATTCTGCCAGTTGTTTAACCAGATACTGCTTTACTTTTACTTTAAAGGAAAAAGTATTAGAAGCCATCCTGATTTCGAGTGTTTATTATTTGTGATTTTCATGCATTTTCAATGATTTTAGACTCAGAATGATGGTCTAAATACACTATTCCAGTATTCGTTACGACGTCCCTTATGCCCTGTATGTTTAGAGAAAAGAAACACTTAAACACAAGTGCTTGGGTTTTCGATACCCCATTGAGTTAGTGTCACGTAAACCACTCAAACGTCAACCTAAAACATAGGCACCCAGAGTATTTTCAATATTATTATCGTCACGTGTCTTGATTATGTTTATTGACTTGGCTGCTAGACGAAACGAGCTGAACATTTTGACAAACAACTGCATTAACACCTGATAACCTAGCCTGCAGTTCAAGGGTTATGGCTCCTCTGTTATCTAGTCCATTGTTATCATTATAGCGTTGTATAATAAACATTAATAATGTTTTGAGTCTCCTCTCCACTCCGTTGCTTAAACTATAGTTAATAAAATGCTGAAAATGCTGAAATACACACATATTATATCTATCTTCTAAATATTCTTCTTTCTAAATTCCTTGTACCCCTTTTTAAACAAAAAAAGAATGCAATAAGTAGAAGAGTGCACAAATTTTATCTAAATCGGCTCAGCGCTTATTGATTCCTCATACGAACTTCCACTCCCCTCTTCACCTCCTTTGATTTCTGGGATAAAAACGATCCTATACTAAAGAGCGTACTCCTTCCTAAAAGGCCGGCAACGCGTTTGTGACTCCTGAGTTGCAGACGTTCATGGGCGGCGATGGTCACTTTCCATCAGGTGACCCGTCTGCTCATCTGCCCCCGCTAACATAAAAAAAAGAAATAAAACCATTCCCGGGACTCAAACTATGCCTATACCAAATTTCATTTAAATCAGTTCAGCGGTTTAAGCGCGAAGAGGTAACAGACAGACAGACGTAAAGACACACTTTAGCATTTATAATATTAGAATGGATACCTGCAATAAAAAAAAATGACAAAATTTTTACACAAAACTACAGGGTCATTATATATTTTGATCTTTCATGTCACAAAGGTCCGCCAGGGAACTTCTGGTATTATTAAATATCAATGTCATCAACAGTAGTCCACGGGCTGGCCTCTCCTTAAAAATGAGGTTTTGGCCTACTGTACTGTACCACGCTGGCCAGACGGGTTGGTATAGGGTTTGTTTCAAGTTATCCATCTGTTTGCAGTGCTGTTTCTTTTTTATTGAAGAGGGGACAGACGAGCAGACGGGTCACCTGATGGAAAGTGAATACCGCCGCCGTTGAACGTCTGCAAATCAGGAGTCACAAACACATTTACTTCCTTTTAGAAGTACGCTCTTTTCTTGAAGGTTGTGTCGGTATTGAAATACCGCAGACGATAACTTATTCCACAGATTTGTTGTACGAGGTATCAAGCAAGTGGTGGTAGCATGGCTCTCCCACGGTTAAGAGCTAGATAAAAACTATTATAAGAGTCAGAGTATAATGAGTATTTAATAGCCGTATTATAGTTTGGTAGTGGACAAAAACTCTAGGAAATAGTATTTTTGCACAGACGTTTTTAATTAGATCAATTATGATAAAAAACACATACGTTCAAATAATATTATTAGGTACGATGTATTCAATTATTTACCAGGAAAAAGATAAATTTAAGTAGGTATGATTATTATAATAGTTATTAGTTAAACAATAAAAATGGCCAAGGTTACAGACCCTACACGAAAGACGAACTTTGTTTGGTTTGGTTGTAATGAGCCTGCAAAAACGGCTTGCTGACTATTTGTGTCGGATGCTAGGTAAGTCAGTACTTGGCTTTTTGGGATTGAATTGAAATTGATGAAAATAATTGATTTTAGCACGGTACAATTTATTGAAATTTGTTTGATACTTTATTTGTTTACAGTTATCAATTAACTTACCAATAAAATACTAATATTGTGCTGACTTTCACATATAATCCTAAAACATATCATTTATACTAACCTAAACTAACCAAAACACTTAAAAAAACTTTCATTGCAACTAAAGTTCTCTCCCTGAATAATATATTTACAAGTTCCCAACCTCACAGAGGCAGAGGCAACTTGGGCAGAGGCTTGATCACCTCGCCTGGTTGTAGAATCTTCACTTTGTGTTGGAGGTGGTGACGGATTAAGAATAGGGAATATCACTACCTCTATTCGTCCTGTGGGTGTCGTAAGAACCGACTAAGGGAGCAAACTACGCAGGAGAACAGCACTGCAAGGGGCAGAAAAACCCGTGATCAAACCCTATACAAACGCGTCTGGCGTAGTATAGTAGGCCAAAACCTCCTTTCTAAGGAGATGCCTATGTCCTTCGTACTTTAAATAAACACAATATTTTTAATTATTTCATTATAAATGTATAGTTTTCAGATTATTAACTGTATTTGTTATATAAGACGATAATACATACCAAATTTTATAATTATAGGTCAACCGGAAGTACCCTATAAATTTAGATTCCCTTGAGAGTGCCGAAATATGCGTTTATGGGGGGCAAACGGTCGTATCATTTTTTAAGTTAACTTAGAAAGTTCAATAGACTGTGGACCTGAGTATATGGTTTTGATTTCAACTCGATACCTCCACGCATTCCCGAGATAAAGGGTTTTGACGGGCAGACGGATTGACAGACAGACGGACAACAAAGTGATCCTAAAAGGGTTCAGTTCTTTTCATTTAAGATACAAAACCCTAAAAGAGAGAGACAAGAATTGAGAATTTTGAATATTTCTTCGCAAACACATACATACATATTATACATAGATGCACACCGTCACAAACAGACGTAGATAAACTTATAAACATTTATACCGATTTGTATAACCATACCTGATGTCATATTATATAGTTCCTTCCAGGCTGTCTGGAGCCCAGCGCGAAGGGCCACCGCCTGGCAGTGGCGGCATTAGTGACGTCACCACGTAACAGCGCCACGACGTCATCGAGATAGTGTAGCGCTTGAGCCTCCGAGCTAAGCGCACGCGCCGCCAGCGCGCAACGGCGTGCGCGTGCTGTTTGCGCCTGAAAACGACAAACAAATTTATTAAACATTCAAAATAAGTTAACTATTTTGTTTTATTTTCTAGTATTTATCCAAGATATATGTCCTATCACCGTTACTACGATTACTACTTTAAGTCGAAGATGGGACATGCATATCCAAGGAAAACCTATTCCCTTTACTCTTGACATAGTTCCCAATATGCCCCCTACCTCTATTAGCTAGGTAAAAACCATATTACAGATCCTTAAAGCACTTGAAGTTCAAGGCTATCCTTATAAAGAACCAACAAAGGTGTCCATAAGACATAATAACATGGATTTAAGAAAAGTTTTTCGAAATGCTTAAGTTAGAAATCCCACCTTTCTCTAGTAAAATAACTACTAAATTAATGCCTACTGTTTTGCTCCACACTAAGTTTCTTTGTCAGAGGTCTGAGGTTTTCTAAGAATGTACTCAGTTCTATCTCTCAGAGGATTGTTCTTGCTCAATTAATTTACACAAAATAAAATAAATAAAGATTTATTTTAGACTTTGTTCATAGCGTCCATATTAACTTTTTATGTCTCTGAATCAATTTTTAAGACTCCGTAGTCTTAACAAACTGCCTATAGTTTTGACATGACCATCTGTTTATCTGTTTAGTCGTCCACGGCTTAGGTTAGAAACTGTAAGCACTAAAAAGCTGAAAAGCCGACATAGTGGTACAACGCCTACACGAGATATTTTATTGAGAAAGTAATAATATATAGTAAAGTCGTTTAGTTATTTTTAGTTCAGTTAGTAAATTTTTAATTAGTCGTCGCGCGATAATAAGAAATGAAACTTTTATAAAACAAACAACAAAAACGCATCGTTTGGAACATTTTAATAACTTGCACGTCGGGAGCTGTTAATACCTCCAATTTTTTTTTTTTGTTTAAACAAATAAAAGTTCGATAAAACATTGCTCAAGGTCTATTCGTATCCGCAGTTGATCACGTGGGTTTTATACATTCAACTAATGCGCATTATTATATATATTAATTGTATTTATTTAACTAAGAATAATGTATTTCCTTTTGTGTTGTGTTTGTTTATGGCATTATAGTTCTTAAACTCCATTTGTTTAGGAATAATGGCTTCCTGATGACTTGTCTCTGATACAAATGTCGTCGATATTCTTGTAATAGTTTGGTAAACGATACATTTTAAATTTTGTAAGAAAATGATATATTTAATTTTCATGATATGACAATGTTGTTGATATCACCATTGATGACCTATATTATTATATCGATAGTCAATTGACACTGTGAATTTATGTTAGTAGAATACCGATATTTTGACCGATGTCAGTGGCATCTCAATAGCGTGTCAAAGGAATGACAGTGGGTTGGCGTTTACATAAAATAGCAGAATTAAGGCCCAGGCTGAACGTAGTTTGGAATCAGACGGTCGTATGTTACATGTGTCAGGTATTACATAACTTTACGATCTCACACACGCCGTTTTCATCCAAAACTAGGCAGAGCCTATACTATAGTAACAAGCCTGCTAATAAACATACTTGTATATTTACTAGCTGACCCGGCAAACGTTGCATTGCAAAACAAAAAAAAATAGGGATGGGTCACCCTTACCATTTAGGGGTATGAAAAATAGATGTTGGCCGATTCTCGGACCTACCCGATGTGCACACAAAATTTCATGAGAATCGGTCAAGCCGTTTCAGAGGAGTACGGGAACGAACATTGTGACACGAGAATTTTATATATAAGATAAATACATATACATATCACAGAAAAATAAATAACCCAACTCACAAATGTGTATAACAATGGAATCCGGAATGTATTAAGTAAAGTAATAAAAACAAAATTACAGAGCCAAGGTCGCTAGTGCCTGCATAACCTACTATTTACTTGTAACAAATATATTAATGCAAATATATTAAAATTAATTAGAAATTCTCCGCCTGTTCACCCTGCTTTGTGGTCACTGCTTTGTGGTCTGTTTTCTGTGCTCCTAAGAGTTATAGCGTGGTGTTACGAAACCCATTACCTTCCTTGACTATTTCTCTATCCAATGCAATGAGGATTATTAAACTCAGACTGGTAGTTCCAGAGTAGTTATTATAAATTAAACAACAAAATCATTTTGCTCTATTATATTAGTATGGAGTTTTAATTCTTTATTTAAGATGGAGATTAGTAAACTAGCCTATGCTACTCGCCAATAATATAGCTTTCGACGACCGGATGGCGTAGTGGTTTGGGTTCAATTCCCGCTAAAGTCAAACATTTGTGTGCATGAACATTTAATGTTTGATTTGGTCTGTGTTTCTACGTATAATAAGTATGTATTTACAAAAAAAAGTATATATGTATTTATATCAGTTGTCTAGTACCCATAGTACAAGCTCTGCTTAGTTTGGGAGAAGATGGCGTTGTGTGAATGTGGTACAATATTATTTATTTATTGCCATTAGTGAAAGAATTTTGGAAATCGGTTTAGCAGTTAATGTTTGAAAGCGCAACAGAAAAATAAACAAATTCACTTTCACATTTATAATAATAAGTATGAATTCCTAGATTCAAATTCGACGAGCCTTTTTTTCCAGGAGTGAAATGTTCTACCTGCCTATTTCCTGATAAGGCTGCCTATTTGTACTCTTTTGGTTTGGTTTTGGTTTCATCCTATCTTGAATGTATCCCATTCAATCGTACTTTTCATTGAAGAATTTTACTTATCCATCTATCTTATTTATATTATTAAAATTAAAAAGCTTTTAGAACGTTAGAACTACGAGTGGGATTAAAAAAAAGGTCTCTGTATTTCATAGCCCAATTCTTGAGGAAAGTAACATCTTATTAACACTGTGACACTAAGGAGCGGAGCAGAGACAGCATTATGTAATTATAAAGATATTTTTATGAGGTTAATTATTGTCGTGATTAAAAGTGAAATGTGTACGGTTTATTGATATAAAACGGTCATGTTATCAGTGTTATTTGGGTTACATTGACTTTGTACATTACGTTGGTGATAACAACGTGATGTCAGTTTACTGTTGATGCTTTGGTTAAATAATGCAGCAATGAGAATTAAAAACATATGTTGTGAGAAAACTAGGCAGGACAACAGCACTGCAAAGAGACGGAATACTTAAAACAAACCCTTTACCAACCCGTCTGGTCAGCGTGGTATAGTAGGCCAAAACCTCATTTCTATGGAGAGGCCTGTGTCCAGCAGTGGACTATTAAAGGCTGAAATGTTGCCAATGATGATGTTAGGTAAAGTTATCAAACATCGGCTACGACTGGGTGCTTCGTGGTGCCTTCTTGGATGGTGTCGCCGTCGTGTGCTACGCGGACGACACACTCGTGACGGCGCGCGGCAAGACGCACCACGAGGCAACCCTGAGGGCCACGGCCGGGGTTGCCCAAGTCGTTGAGCGTATCCGGCGGCTGGGTCTCGAGGTGGCTCTGCACAAGTCCGAGGCCCTGTTCTTCCACGGGCTTCGGAGGAAGCCGCCTGAGGGATCTAGCCTCACGGTAGGAGGCACTCGCATCGGCATCGAGCCCTCGATCAGGTATCTGGGGCTCGTACTCGATGGCCGATGGGACTTCGGATATCATTTCCGAGGTCTGGTCCCCAAGTTGGTTGGGGCAGCGCGTGCGTTGGCGCGGCTGCTGCCCAACATGAAGGGACCCGATGACTCCTGCCGGAGACTCTACTCGGGGGTTGTGCGGTCCATGGCCCTTTACGGGTGCCCAGTATGGGCGGGGGCCCTGAAGGCCAGCAACGTCGCGATACTGCGGCGACCGCAGCGAATGCTGGCCATCAGGATCATAAGGGGGTACCGCACGATCTCCTTCGAGGCGGCGAGTCTCCTGGCCGGAACTCCACCGTGGGACCTGGAGGCGAGAGCCCTTGCAGCACTGTATCAGTGGCGCAAGGAGGCGCAGGAGTTGGGTCGATACCCCGAGATTCGAGAAATCGATGACCGGAAATCCCAACTCCGCCAGGTCATCATAGGGGAGTGGAGGGAACGACTCGGGCAACCGAGCGCCGGGCACGCCGTCATTGCGGCGGTAAGACCCGTTATGGAGGATTGGCTCGAGAGGCGTCACGGGACCCTCTCATACCGATTGACGCAGGTGATCACTGGGAAGGGATGTTTCGGAGATCACCTGTGTCTGATCCGCAAGGAGCCAACGCCTGAGTGCCACCACTGCGATGGCCAGACCGTGGACACGGCTCTCCACACGCTGGCAGAGTGCCCGGCGTGGGTTGAGCAGAGGCGAGACCTCGTGGCGGCCATCGGAGTGGGAGTTCTCTCGCTCGATAGCCTGATTGCGGCTATCGTGCGGAGCGAGAGTGCGTGGAACTCTGCCGTCTCCTTCTGCGAGCAAGTTATGCTCGCGAAGGAGACGGCGGAGCGGGACCGGGAGAGGTTTAGAACTCTCCCGGCCCGCCAGGCCCGGGCACGGGCCAGGCAGCGCAGGCGACTCAGGCGCCGGAGGTCGCAGAACGACCTCCGTCCTCCATAAGCGCAGGCCTGGGGGTGACAGGTGAGGCCATCTGTCACCCTAGCAGAAGCAGGCCGGGGTGGCGGCGAGCGCGTTGCGAAGCGCGCTCGCTTTCAGGGAGCACAGGGAACATGGGGTTCCCACACGGGGCGGGGGTCGTCTACTCGTCTGTAGATGACCCGAGGTATGTCGGGGCACCAGGGCCTTCCTTTCTAGGGTATACCTGGTTCCCCGGCTATTAGTACCCGGCGAAGGCGTGCGGTTTTAGTCGGTTCGAGTCCGACATGCCACCGACAGGTGGTATCCGAGGGGATTTCCGCACGGAAAAAAAAAAAAAAAAAAAAAAAAAGGTAAAGTTATCAAAATAGTTTCTAGTGCCTTGTCTTTTTTTTTTGTAAATACAACACCCATATAGGAATGTATACTGTGTCGTGGGGGACTTTACGAAAATACATGAAACGGACACAAAGAACACCCAGACTCAGAATAACAGTTTGTGGATCACACAAAGTGTCTTCCCATGTGAGGATCGAACCCACAACACTCAGCGTAGTAGGAAGCGTCGTGGCGACAGCTTAAACCACTACGTCATACATGCAGTCAAATAACTTAGTTAAAGTATACTTAGATATAAAATAATTAACGTTAGTGACAAAATAACAAATTTTCTGAATGTTTACAATTTGCCATATATGTGTTCTAACCTGTGGTTGAAATATGCCAAAGGCGAAGAAGAATAATATGAAAAGACTGCTTGATTTTTGGAGCGTAATCTATTGCCAGAAAGAAGAAGCTTTGGGTACTAAATAGCAGTAGATCCACAAAGATCAAAATTAACTTTTTCTTGCTATTATAGGAAGATTAAATTGAATTAAATACACAAAATAAATACACAAATTAAATACACAAATTAAATATACAAAGAAGATATTATAATGACTTTTATAATTATCGTACGTCGACAGTAGAAGTAGGTATGCTGCTTAGAAGCCAGACCAGGTAGAATCGTTAGTTCTAACTAGTCTAAGAATCATTGAGGGGCTTATCTCCAGCAGTGGACGGTCTATGACTGACGTAGCGATGAGCCGAGTAGCGCTTGACTCGAGTCAGACTCGATTCCTGCTTTAGACTCGCTTATTCGAATACCAATTTATTTTGATTCGAGTACGCCGGACTCGATTCCGGCACTCGAGTCAGGAAGAATCGAATTTGTACTCGCTGACTCGATTCTGTTTAGCGATTCCATGTGACTCGAATCTAGCATACGAGTTAGATTGACTCGCTCGTACTCGATATCTGTTTACATAAGCAATGATGTGACGCCTTTTTTTTTGTTGTTGGGGTGGCAAATCCCTTCGGATCCCTGCTCCTCGGGGACTATGAGCCAGGAGTATGTGGTGATTCCACTAAAAATCACCCCGACGGCCGGCCTCAGGTGTCCTAACCCTGGGGAAGACCCGGACCATGTTATTTCAGGTCCTCCCCGAATTGACACCGTGCCTAATCAGGCCCTATCCCAGGGGAGAAGAGTTCTGGACCCCAATTTCTAGACTCAAGTTTTAGATCGAATTTCCAGACCAGAGTTCTGGACTCGAATTTCTAGACTCGAGTCTTAAACTCGAGTCCTGGACTAGAGTTAACATTCGAATACCAAACATAGAACTCGAGTACTGGGCTCAAATCGCGGAATCGAGTCATGATTCGAATACCGTATGAACCGACTCGAGTCGATTCGATCCACCAAAACAGCGACTCGGCACATCACTAGACTGACGAAATATCTCTTCAGTGAAAAAAATCGGATAAAAGTCGACCTCTTCAGTGCAAAAGTCGAGAACTACGCGCTTAGAATGTCTTTACGATTAAAAATTTGTTGGACATTACAAATTAAGAACCGTTACACTAAATAATAAGTGAATTTTAAAAGTTTAGTGGTTGAATATATGAGATAAAATACAATGAACTATCAAATTTGACGGGCCTGTTGGTCTAGTGGTTAGTGACCCTGACTGCTAAACCGGGGGTCGTGGGTTCGATTCCCACCCAGAGCAAATATTTGTGTGATGAGCACGATCGTTTGTTCTGTGTCTGGGTAATTTATATATAATAAATATGTATTTAGCAGTCTGGTTACCATAGCACAGGCTCTGCCTAGTTTAGGATCAGACAGCCGTGTGTGAGATGTGTGAGGTTATTATTATTATTCTTTTAGTATAGTTACCTCAACGTACAACGTGCATTATAGTTTAAATACTAAAGGCGCTGGTATAGAGTAATGGAAGCGTCTTAATCCAATATAATATTGAAAAAACTCTAATGAAATGTGTGTAGTTAGTAACATACTCTTTATTACAGCCATTGGGTTTTAAGAAAACTTCTTAAGTTTTACAAATATTAATAATAACTTGATATATCTCACATATGATACGATCATCTGAACCGAAGTTACGTAGAGCCTGCTCTATGGTAACCAAACTGCTCTCTGTCCTCGTACCGGTTCAGGCCCATATGAAATATCTGGGCCTGATTCTTAACGGCTCTCCGACGAGCACTTCCGACAGCTTGCTCCAAAGCTGGTCGGCACTGCGTCTGCCCTTGGGCGACTTTTGCCTAATCTGGGTGGACCTGAAGATGGTGCCCGCGCCATTGCGGGAAGTCGCTAGGAGGGGTCCGGATGTCTTAATAATAGCAGTTCCCGAATCTCTCCTATTACTGGCGCACCGTGTGGTTTTAGTCGGTCCGATTCCGACAAACAACTCCCCCGATAAACCCCGCTGGGGTGACAGCCCGAGGGGGTTTCCACACGTAAAAAAGAAAATGGAAATCAAACTGCTGATAAACATCCTTATATATATCTAAATACATTTAAATTACAGACAGTCAGAAGAAAAGATCGTTCTCATCACACAATTATTAGTCCCGTGTGGGAATCAAACCTCTGCATTAACAGGCAAAATAAACAAATATTAATTATAAATACATACCATTATATACTTTCCGCTCTAATATACCAGTGACACGAACACACACAATTAACTTTTTAACTTAAGTAACACGTACGCTAACCCATCGAAGATTTTCGCAATGAATTCACTTGAGCATAACTTAGTAACTTACTCGTAATTGGCACGAGCTAATTATAATTTGGTCGCTATGTACGTTAGAGAGAGACAGAACATTAGTGAAAGTGATACGAAACTAGGTAATGAAAAATTAAACTGACCTACGCTGAGGTAATCATTTTTTATGTTATTTAACGATTTTAACCCGTACTTCCCATGCGTATGCGTTGGCAATAACCAATAACGTAATAAGAGAAGTTTCTTTTATCATAAACAGTCGGAATCCGAGTACAATTAGTACTTTCTTGTTCAACTATGTTTCTCTCGACATTGAGGCGCGAAAGGATGTTAGCTTCCTTCACTGTGTGACGTATTGTAGTGCGTGCAACGGACCATGCTGAGGCTACGAAATAGAGGCTCTTCAACGATTATATTATATTTCAATTTTATTATTAAATGTACCCCATAAAATATTAACGAATAACGAATTTAAAACACCAAGAAGAGTCCGATTTCGCAGTCCCATAGGGTGCAAAAGCGTGCGGTTCTGGCGACAGGGGCCAACGGTACGAACGCGTCAGGGGTGGCGGCGAGAGACACGCCGGGCCAGCACCTGGAGGTCTTCGTGGATCTCGGCCAGCTCGTCGTGCAGGTCGCGCGACTCGGCGAGCAGTGCGTCCAGGCGGCGCGCAGTGGCGCTCAACCCGCACTCCTCCGACTCGTCTTCTTCCACGCTCAGAGCCAAACGGCCTAATCGTTCCCGTTCCATTGCATCCCGTGCTCCACGTTTTCGCCACTCTCGTAACAGTTCCCGTCGGATTCCTCCCCGTTCCTCCTCCTCCGCTTCCTTCAACTCGTCTGCTAACGACAGTTCTGCGTTTGGATTCTTTGGTTTAAGACTAGACTCGTCCTCTGCCACTCGCACTGTTTCCGGTTCAGTCAATTGCTGTGACGATTCAGGCGACTTTTGCCTAGGTTCTGGTGTGGAGGTAGTAGACAGGTTAGGGCTGGGAGACTGTATAGCCCGCTGCAGAAACCGTCGGGTATCTTCGTCAAACGGCCTGGTCAATCCCCGACGTGGTGCAGGCCTGACGATGGCTTCGAGCGCATCGTGTCCAGGGTCCCCGGGTCTGAGTAACTCGAGGATCTTGGCTCGCGGAGGGGAGATTGTGGAGCAAATGTCGAAACGTGAGACTAGTTTTCCTTTACTAGGGGACGTGTGTACGTCCCCTGTAGGAGTGTAGGCGCGTATGTTCTCAGACAATAGACGATAGTTCCTCAGCTTGACGTTGCCTTCTGGCGGCAGCGCGGAGGCCTCGCAGTCCTCGGGTTGCGGTTCCACGATGTGTATGTAATGTTTAGGCGCGGAGGGATCGTCGCGCGCAGTGAACAAGTTCATGTTCGTGCCGGGCGGCGCGCGCGGACGCACTGCGCGTGGAAAGCAGCACGCGAGCCCCGCCGCCGCGTGCCGGACGGGCGCGACGCACACGGGCCGCGCGCCGTGCTACACTGCACTCTACTTAGTGCATATTAATCTAATTAGATTGCACTTACAGCGGCGTCAAGTCACAGCTGTGTATCACAGATAATGTCCCGCTATTAAGTCTGAATATTTTTTACAGTAGTCCGCATTCGGTGAGTGCGAGGTTTCTACAACTGTTTCACTTTTCTTATTGAGTTTCGTTGGCACTAAGATTTGTTTAAGTGTATTTTATGTTTTACAGTACTCGTTATTGGTAAATTTACTTCATGGATTTTTATTTTATTTTTATTTTATTTTATCTAATAGGTACAGTAACAGATAACAGATTAGCACATACACAATTATGTTGACAATATACAATACTTAAATCTGAAGTCCAGTTATAACTATACACAACGTTCTATTACAAAGTTTATATGAGTATGTTAACAGACTAAAGAATTCACATAATAAACTTAAGCTCCATTATTATTACAAAATAATTGGTTTAAGGTTCGATTAAATAACAACACAAAGATCCCACAAAAAAAAAAGGAAGAAAGCTTAAGAAATTATACAGACATTATTGTGGGGCACATAGTTTCAGTAATAGACTTATGAATAGATTATAACTATTGTGAGAAATGTCCACCTCAGAGCAAATTGCGTTATATTGACTGCACATTCGGGATATTGGATTGTTCTGTGATACATTATTGTTGCTAGTAGGTACACAGAACAGCTGTGGTATACGTATGGATCGTGTTGGTATCTTAAAGTATAACAAGCCAACAAGCTCACTATCAAGTGAGCCATTTACTATTTTATGTAGGGTGCACATGTCAGTTAGCCACCTTCTCCTCTCTAGACTTATCATTTTAAACCTACGAAGTCGGCTGTCGTAATCCGGTATTTTTCGCCTCAAGCCAAATTTAGAGGACAACGCCCTTACAAAACGCCTCTGGACTGCCTCTATTCGATCTATGTGGGTCTGATAGATGGGAGCCCATACTGATGAGCAGTACTCAACTATGCTTCTTACTAAACAGTAGTATAGAGTTATTAAGGAACTAGCTTGTGTAAAAGGTCTAGCATTTCGAAGTACAAACGACAACATACGATTAGCCTTACTGCAAATGTAGTCGTAATGAGGCTTGAACGACATTGAAGAGTCAAAGATCAAGTCGCGCACTTCCTTAACTTTTTCTATGGTGACTCCTGTGATCTGGTAACAGTAATCAAGTGACTTTTTATTTTTGGTAAAGGTAATAACTTGACACTTTTTGATGTTCAACGACATAGAGTTCTCCGAACACCAGTCAACAATTGTGTTCAAGTCTGATTGGAGACTTTCGCAATCACGATGATCAGAAATGCGTCTAAATATTTTAATGTCATCTGCGTAAGCTAAACATTTACTACCAATTTTAAAGAGCAAATCATTGATAAAAATCAGGAACAGAAGAGGACCAAGATTTGACCCCTGTGGCACACCGGAAGTCGCCAAAAAAGGAACAGATTCGTACCCACCAAGTGCAACCAACTGGGTTCGATTTAATAGGTAGGATGTAAGCCATCTGAACAGGCTTCCGTGTACTCCAGCATGCTGTGCTTTTGCAAGTAACCTTAAATGATCAACGCGATCAAAAGCTTTGGAAAAATCTGTGTATATTGAATCCACCTGCTTTTTTAGAGTAAACGATTCACACAAATAAGACGTATAGTATATGAGATTCGAACTAGTTGACCTACCAGTCATGAAACCATGTTGTAATGGACTTAATAGATGAATAAGATGGTTGTACATATAATCATAAATGTAGCCCTCAAAAATCTTTGCAAACCAGTTTAGTATGCTGATAGGCCGGTAATTCGAAACATCGTTTTTATCACCGGATTTGTAAATTGGAGTGATTTTGGCGATCTTCCAAAGCGCAGGAAATGTGCCTTCGCGCATCGATTTATCGTAAATCACCAAGAGAGGTGTTACTAGTGCTGATGCACAGAGTCGAATAAACACTGGAGGTATACCGTCAAAACCACTGCCTTTAGTTAAGTCGACATTCTGCAATCTTTTTAGCAAATCGACTTTAGATATAAATAGACTATTAATGGAGTAGTTGGATGCTGGAAAGTCAAGGTTACAGTTGCCAGTTGAACTGGTGGAATAAACTGAGGAGAAATAATCTGCAAATAGGTCCACAATACCATCACCCGTGGTCGCCTTTTTATCTTTATAGAACATACTGCTAGGATAATTATTCGTGACACGTTTACTCTTTGTGTAGCGCCAAAAGGCCTTAATATTAAGTTTGAGATCATCCTCTACTTGTTGTATATATGTTCTAAAGCATTGAATAGCGACCTCTTTTGCTCTGGCCCTAGGCATAGTGAACACATCGTAGTCCCTGGGATTACCAAAACGTTTAAATCTAGAGTGGGCTTTGCGTTTACTTACAAGTAGATTAATTAAATTTTTAGAGAACCAAGCAGGATACTTATTGTTTGATAGTTTCGACTTTGGTGTATACTTTTCGATTATCGAATAAATGCTATCGTAGAAATAGTCTACAAAATCATCACAACCCAATACTAACGCTTGCTGCGACCAATCAATTTTAGATATATCTCTTTTGCAACTCTCGTAGTCAGTTTTATAAAAACATAACTTCTCCATTGCATTGTTCTGGACAAGGCCAGAAATAGTCCGAAGTACGAGTTCAAAAGGCGGGTGATGTATGTCGGGGCGACTCAAAGGTATAGTAGGTGTCAATTTGAATAAATCGGGGCAGTCAGTGATTGCAAGATCGAGTATTCTGCCATTATGGTTAAATATATCGTTGAGTTGACGAGCTGTCGTTAATTGAAATAGGTCATATAGAGCTTTAGATTTTTCACAATTACAATCCTGGGGACATTGTTCTATTGACCAATTTATATCACCAAGATTAAAGTCACCAATTATACAGTTTATATACTTAGATGTTTGATTAAGGATATTGTTGCATTTATTGAAAAATTCACTTACTACACACACTGGTAAGTAATGAGGTAGGTAGGCTATACACAAGTTAAGTACACAATTTACATTTACTCTGATTTGCACCCATATATCCTCCAAATCAGCTGATTGCCAATCACTTTTAAGTGAAACTTGAAGTTTTTTAGCATAAGCGATAAGCACACCACCACCATGTTTTTTGTCAAATCGAGAACAAAATTTAGGATCACGATCCCTACGCAGTACACAACATCTGTCATCAAATAGTTCTGTGGATAGTACAGTATCATCAAGCCAAGTCTCAGTTAAGCATATTAAGTCAAAATTATTAACAAGTATTGTATTATAGAAATCCAGAACTTTACTTTTCATACCTCTAATGTTTTGATAATATATTGAAACATACATCTTTAATTTTTCTAAGAACTAATCCACAGTCCAAATAATTTATGAAAAATTAAGATATAAGACCTAGGCCCTCCATGTTCCTAATCATTATGTGTTTAGAGTCACGTTTTTTACCCTTTTGTAACTTAGCTGTCTCCTAATGCAGAAACATATATATTTATATATCTAAGTATAGTGCAATTAATAATAACCGAGTGGTTATGAGTTAGGATTTCTTCTCTACTTAATGGGTCTATGGGAGATAACATAACATAGGACTAAAGTTAGGATCAAAGTAAAAAGGTATGTGCGACGTTTACATTGACTATTCAGTTAATTTTTGAGTTTTTCGGGAATCGGGTTAACGATTTAGGTATGTAGAAATAGGTTGTGTTATTATATTGTTGTTACTTCTTTTCTAAATTAACAGTCTTCAATTAGTTAATCGTTTTTATGTGCTTTGAAAACACTACTAATACCGGCCCATTAAGATAAAGACGTACTATAAAATTAACTAATTACGGATGAAACAATTACTGTATTTGTCCTGTTTGTGAATACCCGTAATTATGTATATTTTGTTAACTGTTTTACCTAGTAACATAAACTAGTGGAATAAAACTGGTAGTAAAGAAGTCATCAATCATTTTTGTAAATAATTGGTGGTAAACGAGATAACATGTCGCCTGGTAGAAAGTGGCTACCGCCATGGACGTCTGCCTGGCAGTGACAAGCACGTTACCTTCCTCTGAGGTGGGAGTACTCTCCTCTCTTGAAGGTTTAAAGGTCGAATCGGCCCGAAAATACAATAGGAAACTATTTTTTCGACAGAAAGCGCACTGTTGAACATTGATAAATTAAATCATTTTTAAAAATCAACTTATGTTATGATTTAAATTGCCATGGTCAGTTTCAGTTGATACGTTCTTATAACCGGGTTATTACTATATTTATGGTTGTGTAAATATCGAAAACTAATTTCCGAAAATAAACATGGTAAATATTCCGTTTATAATAACTTATCATATCTTGACAAAATAATGATATAAAGAATGTGTGGATGAAATGTTAAATATTGTATCTCAATATGTGTGTTTACGTGTCTCTCTCTGTATGTGTGGGTAAATAAATGGTAAACATGTACATGTTTCGGCCAGGTTGCAATGGCCCTGGTTGCAGCCTGTGACCAATTTCGTCATAATGTCAGGTAATTAAAAACAATTTTATCATAGAATACTAGATGGATGAAAGTTTAAAAATTAAAACATTAAAAGGTATGTCACATCACATCATATCTACAGCCTTTAATAGTCCACTGCTGGACATAAGGCTCTCCTTAGAAAGGAGGTTTTGGCCTACTATACCACGCTGGCCAGACGGGTTGGTATGGGTGTGTGTCAAGTTTTCCTTCTCTGTGCAGTGCTGTTATTCTGCCTAGTTTTCTCCCTTAGTCGGCTCTTACGACACCCACGGGATGGATAGGGGTGGTGACACTCTGTATTCTTAATCCGTCACCACACGGAAAGGTATGTCACTTATTGCAAATCAG